CTCACCTCTGATTTGAATTGATTTAAAATCACAAATGTCACTATGAATTAATTCAAGTGGTTCCGTACTTCTTTCAATTGAATGAAAAGGAGTTTTAGATAATTTTGCCTCAACGCAAATTTCACATTTATGATTTGAATCAATGTCAAATTTAGGTAAACATTCTATATTAATTAATCTACATAAAGATCTATAATTAACATGTCCTAGTCTACCATGCCATAAATTTGATGACTCAAGCAAGTACGAAAAAGATATATTTTTATTAATAACTGAGGGTACAACAGTCATTACATTCATCTTGAAAAGGCCATCAAACATGTAGCATTTTCCTACATACATCTCATTCTTAGTAAGTACAAATTTATTACTCTCAAACACTAGCCTAAACACATTCTTACTCAACAAAGATCCAAAAATAAGATTCTTTCGAATGTCCGGTACATACAGCACATTGTTGAGAGTTAGTTCTTTTTCAGATGTCATCTTCAGAACAATCTTCCTTTATCCTTCAACTTTGAAAGTTGACGAGTTGCTCATAAAAAGTTGTTCACCGTTGTCCACTGTAGAATAAGATGTGAACATCTTTTTGTCAGCACAAATGTGGCGATTAGCACCAGTGTCCACCCACCATTCTTTAGGATTTATGATAAGATTTGCCTCTGAAACAACTGCAAAAAGATTGATGTCATCTACGCCATTGGAAATATTGTCCACTTCAGTCATATGGGCTTGAGCAGGCTTCTTGCTTGTTCTTCTTTTGTTTTTGTATTTGCTATGGCAATCTTTGGCTCGATGTCCCTCTTTATCACAGATGTAACATTTGCCATTAAACTTGTACTTTTTATTTCCCCCCCCCCTTTAGAGCCTTGTGATGAACTTTCTCCAGAAGACTTCCGTTTTTTGGTTTTTGACGCATGTTACACCACATTAGCATTAGACTCCATAGGATTCATATCAGCTCGCTTTTCAGAATTGCGGTTGTCCTTCTCAATCCTCAAACACATAATTAATTCTTCCAAAGACATTTTTTTGCACTTGTATTTGAAGTAATTCTTGAATTCCTTCCAACCTTGTGGTAATTTCTCAATTAATGCTGCAACTTGAAAGGATTCACTAGGAGACATGCCCTTTACGCGAATGTCATACAGAATGAGTTAGAGATCTTGAACTTGGCTAATCACAGTCTTAGAATCAACCATCACAAAGTCCAGGAATTTGCCACCACAAATTTCTTTGAGTCAGCATCTTCCGTTTTGTATTTTTTCTCCAAAGAATCCCAAAGTTCTTTTGCTGTCTTGATAGGACTGTAGACGTTGTATAATGTGTTGTCAAGTCCGTTCAAGATATAGTTTCGGTAAAGGAAATCAGTATGTTTCCAGGCATCAACTGCAGCAACCACTTGCCGGTTAGTTTCATCATCTTTCAAAAGAAGAGCATTCTCACGGAGGAAATGAGTCAAGTTCAGAGTTGTAAGATAGAACAACATTTTCTGTTGCCATCTTTTAAAATCAGTTCCTAAGCACTTCTTTGGCTTCTCACCGTGATTTACCGGTACTATCACAACAAGAGAGGGAGTTGGCACAATTGTAGCCTCCATACTAGTACTTGTTTGGGTATTAGTTTCAGTAGCCATGAATTCTAAATTATAAAACAAAATTATAATTAGAATTTATACTACACAGCAAATTTAACCCAAATTCACAGAATTAAATTCTGTAAAAATAAAAGAAACAAGAAGAGAACTTTTATTTTTTCCAATTAATTTGGAAATAAAATAAAATTTAATTTAACCAAATTAATTCTACACAGAAAATTAAATTTCTGTAACACTTCAATAATTAAAAACTAAAACAGAATTTTTTTTAATTAATAAACTCTCAAAAAATAATTTCTGAAAACCAAAATTAATTTCTGACACAATTCCACAAATAAATATTCTGAATTGTTAATAACACCAGTATATTACTATTAGTTGCCAAAGAAAAAGACAGTATATTACTACTATCTGTCAAACAGTATATTACTACTATTTGTTTTCCAACCAAAATATTATTTTGTAAAATCACAGAAAATAATTTCTGTAAGAAGAAAAAAGAAGAAAGGAAATAAACGAAAAATTCTGTAAACAGAATAATTCGAATCTGCCTTAAGATTGTTGGAACAATCTTCTGTGTAAATAAAATAAAATGAAACTAAATCAAACAAAATAAAATAAATAACTTACAGAATTTATTTTATCGAACCGGAAGAAAAATAAAGGACCAAGTCGAGTGTGTGACACTCTGTCCTTAAGACAGATTCACTCGGGTACGATGCTTACGGTTATGTGACATCTATCTCTCAGAATACAATGATCTTCACAAATTTGTAGTAGCACTCCAAACAAATTTGTCTGGCAAACTAGAACCTTGTGTTCTATACTCTCTTTAATTTTCTCTAAAACTAGAATGAAGAATAATGCACCAAAAGAGTAAAGTTGGACAACAAAAGGAATTTTTGAGACTGTCGGATTGCCAAATGCTAGAATAGATCAGGTACAAAATTTGAAGTGAACGGATGCAATTTCAAATTGGACACGTGCAACAGATAACTGCCCAGCAGTTTCCTAGAAAGACAGATTTAAATCTGTATGGCTGGAACAGAATTTGTTCGGGGTTCAAACAGTTTTGAATTGTTTAATCTATTTGGAAATGGACACAAAATAAATTCAATTTCTAGCCGGTCGACGCGTGTGGTGGTTTGGGTTAGGGTTCACTTTGTCCATAACTCCTCCCTTCTACAAATTTGAGGTGCCTCTTAGGGCCCAACCTAAGTGTTGTAGTTTAGACCTTATAGACATACACAAACTCTCTTAAAGTTTCAATGTGGGACAACCTATTTCAAAGAAATCGACATTTACTTCTTTAACTATTTCATTCCATGAACTCGAAAACGACGTCAACTTCTCATTCACTCATATATGGTTTTGACGCACCGTTTTCACCTTGTGATGTGTCATGCGGCAAGGAATACGTCACATCTTTGTACCCATCCCAAAAGACGTATCGGACCCACTCTATTTTGAATTCAAAATTGGCCCAAAATAAGTCTTATAAACCAAATTTTCCAACATTATCAACCCTTTTAAATCTGTCAAAAGACTTCAACCGCAGAAATTAAAAGTTCAATTAAAATCAATTTATTATATAAATAAGTTAACCTTACACATATTTTAAAACTGGTTAATTTTCTAAACTCAAACTACAATGTTCCGCTCATGAATAATTTTATTAGAGTTACATCAGCTTAAAAAATAAACAAATTAAAATTGAACATATTTTCAAATCTCGTTAAAATTTCAAATCAAATTTAAACATCCAACTATTAATCAACTCAACTCAACTAAACTGCTTAAACTCCATTAATACATGAAGTCGGATCGTTCATCATTCAGAATTTAGAGAGAGGAGAAAGAGCTAATTACCACTCCTTGTCCAGATCGAGCACACCAGCCATTAGGAACACCATTGATAGAACGAATACGATACCACTCGCTCAAACTAGCTTTCCCCAACATCACCGCACCAGCCTTCCTCTGCCTCTCTACAACCCCTGCATCTCGAGCCACCTCCGATCCGATCAGCGCGTACGAACCAGCCGTCGTGTTCATCTTGTCTTTCGTACCAATCGTGTCCTTCACCAGCAATGGTATGCCGTGTAGATCTCCCAGCGATCCACCATTGCTCTGCCTCTCTCGGTCTGCCTCGTCCGCTAGATCTCGAGCGTCCGGACCGGATTCAGCTCCTCGATTCCGTTCAGGTAGAAGTCAACGAGCTGCCTTGATGTGAGCTTGTTGTCTGCGAATGCTTGCTGGATTTCTCGGGTTGTTGCTTCTTCAATCGTGAACTCCTGGCCGTTCATGGTGAGGACTAAACCGGTGATAATCACAAGAGAGATGAATGTTTTGGGTAAGACTGAGGAAGCTGGATCGTAGATCACCGTGACTTCCTCATTGGAAATATTTTTACGTACATATAAAATGTTGAATAGCGGCAACGTCAAGTCGCAAAAATGCCTGTAATTATTCAATATTATCTTTCCCATGTTGTTTATGTAGTTTTTCAAATACAGTAATGCTTGAGACCACTAAAAGTGGTGCTTTTAAAGCACCACTAGTGATGTGGCAGTGAACGGATCCATTGTTTGTGTCTTGTGTTTTTTTTTTTGTGGTTAAAGTGCTTGCCAACTCATTAGTGGTGCTCTAAGCACCACTTTTAGTGGGATGTATCACTACCCTTTTTCAATAATTTGGTTGTCTCTAACTTTGCATCTAGTCTTTTATCAAATTTAAATTTGATGAAAATGCTAACATTTCAGCTCTAACCATTCCATTAAACTCATATCAAATGAAAAGAGAATAAAAAATTTCATCAAATAAAGAATGCTTTTATAGTTCATCAAACTTTTGTTAAGTAGCCGTTGCTTACCAAGATACCAAGATACCGAACGGCTTGAAGGATGTCTTCCCGACAACCTGTGTGTCAACCAAATGGATGGAAATAAGTTTCACAATTTCTTGTTCAATTCACATTGGCCAGTCAGACAACCAAATTTGTAAAAAAATCTAATGAAAATTTAAGTTTTAACATTAGAATAGACACTCTTATTTAAATGTTTATCAAATCAAATTTTAACATTAGAGAAAATACTCTTATCAAATCAAATTTTCCAACAAACTTTTATTTAAATTTGATGAAACTTTCGATTCAACATTAGAGATACTCTTGACACTTTCAAGTTATCTTTTAAAGTTTTAATAAAAAGTATTGGGTACCACACTTTTAATTAATAAATATTAAGTTGAAGCATCATGTATATTTATTTCAAGACTACCATATAATTTTTTATTTAATTGTAACTTTTGTCCCTAATCTTCTAATTTTATAGAGTAAATCCCAAAAACTATAAAAATAAATAAATAAATAAATAATCAGTTTAAATGGTCTTTTAGTCCTCAATTTTCAAATTTTGTACTAGGTGTCTATTTCTTCCTTCTTCAATTAACAATAGAAATTTTTTGAGTGCACAAAATGGAACGACAACAAAACCGGAGACAATCTTCTCGCATGGGGTACACCACCAAGCATGTAGGTATCATCCCGATTGTGTTCGATTCTATGCAAGTAAAAAATCGATAACATTATAACAAGAGACTAAATGCACAATATTGAGGGCTAATACTCCTGAAACTCTGCGACTTTTGATTATGTGCCGGTTTGCTGGTTGCCAAAGCAGAAGATATGCATCTGAGTCGTGTCCTTTGTATATTTAAAGAAAATGTGCCAACAGTTTCATACAATGACACCAAATATATCACAAGTCACACGTAAGCATCCTCATTCAATTCCATTGACAAGGAAAAAGGAGGTCTCCTAACCATGGTGGCCTGTTCAAAACCATAAGCAATCTCAATCAGCTTCGGTTCTGTGCCCTTCAAGCCTCCGAAACAGATCCCAAATGGCATTCCATCGCTGTCATACCCAGCCGGGACAGAAATTGCTGGGTACCCTCCAATTGCCAGCACAGGGGAGGCACCCGAACCTGGTGTCACCATTGCATCCAACTTGTTCTCCTTCATTAGCTTCTCAATGCCATCTCGCGACAGATTTTCTATAGCCTCTATTGCCATCCTCTCTTCCTCCCCAAGTCCATTTGTGAATTCTGCAGCATAAAAAATCTCTTGACCATATTCTTCGGTTTTCTCCTGCAAAGACCAACTCCATAATTGTTATCTTCATAATAAACAGGGACAGACCCAAGATTTCAATATAGAGGGAACATGCACATACACTAACAAAAAGTTTGAACTACAATATCAATTTATACCAGCATAAAAAGTAGTCTACGATGCCCTTCTTGGCCGATAAATTAACAATATTTCTCTGCTTAATTTTTCTTTAACCAAAGATGATTAATTGGACAATTACATACCAGATCAGTGTAATTCATGTTGAACGTAATAACATCAGACAGTGACCGCACTGGAGAGGTGATTAGCTCTTTCAAATAATCATTTATGGCCAGCTTGAACTCGGCCAGCATAACCACTGCTTCACCACTTTGATAGGGATCCAAAATGACATCGACATTTGTTATCTCCAAATTGTCCACAATAGTTGCACCACTTTGCCTTCAAATTCCAAATGAACATTCAAAATGCATCAATAATTCTAAATGTAACCAATACCTTCTGTTAATATTTGACTAGGGTTTTACCTTAATGTGTATAGATGATGCTCAAAGGTTGCAACAGCTTTGGACCTATTTAGAAGGGCCAAAAATGGATTCCGCACCGCACCCAATCTCTTGCCTTTGAGGCCATCTTTGTTGAGAAATTGTTTATAACCACCTGCAGGTATGAACGTGGCTGCTTCTTTTGTGGCTTCGAAATCTCTTGGATCAAAACCCACAATTGCATCAAGCACGTGAACTGCATCTGATACTGTCCTACATACAGGCCTTCAAACGAAAAACTAGGAGTGATAAATCTCTTGATTATGTGTTTTTAACAGACAAATAACTTGTATATAAAAGTGTGTGACTTTTACAAATCACATGACCATGGCCAGGTCTTACTATCATAAAAAAGGCTATTTCCTCTCAATATCTGCCCAACTTGCTCAATGTGTAGAAATAGGATTCATGTTTGCAAGGCTCAAATTCTATGTAGTTGGAACAAGGTTTTGACTAAGTTGAGTGAATAGAGTACTTACCCAATGGTGTCCTGTCGGGGTGACATAGAAACAACACCAGCTCGGCTGGTGAGACCAACCGTGGGCTTGATCCCTACAACAGAGTTGTAATCAGCAGGGCAGATGATGGAGCCATCTGTCTCAGTACCCAGTGATACAGACACCATATTTGCAGCCACTGATATTGCAGATCCACTGCTGGAACCGCATGTGTTCCCTGATAGGACGTATGGATTCTGCACGGTTTATGGTGAAATATTGTTATGGTTACCATGATATTTTTTTCATGATACCTAGTATTACTCCTCCCAAAAACAAAAATAAAAACAAAAAATAAATAAATAAAAAATAGGCCTAATTTAATTAAACAAGTTAGCCCTGCAACACAGGTATCATTGCAAGAGCTTTAATCATGAACAACAAATCAACCTGACAAAAAGAAAACAGATTTGGTGTAAATTGTAAATGAAATATGTAGTTTTGATTACTAGCTAAATGAAAATTTCAAGAATTTGGCCTCCTCTCTTCACCCATCTCTTTAATTCCGTGTTTCTCGCTCTTTCAGATTTGGTCAACTCCTTGCAAAACAAGTTAATGATTTTCAACCTCTTAACAACTTAATCTGTGACTGTAGGTACCTGTTGGACCAGCTTGGAGTGGAAGAAGTCAAGCACAAATATAGAGAAGCAAATGCATGCACAGATGCATTGGCAAATAATGGAAGCACAAGGGAAGAAGAATTGCACCTTTTATTTACGGGCACCTAGCTAGCAAATTCTGTAAAGCATCTGCTTGCTTGTGCTAATGGGAATGTGTTTCCCAGAATTTTGTCTGACTCTAATTAACTATTTATGATATTTCGTCTTTCTACCAAATATATATATATATGTACATATATTTTTTTTTAATTAAGGAAAATTTAGCTAAAACCCCTCCATTGAACCTTTATTTGATAAAAAAGACAGTCGAATTTATTTTAGGGCAAAACACCAATAAATCTCCAATTTTAATTTGTTAAACCATTTGATCATGTCTTTTATTTTGTAGACTAATATGCCATATTTGAATGTTAAAAGCTCACTATAAACCTTTTTTAGATTTCCCTCCTTTCTGAACATCAACAACATCAACTACATCATCAAAACATCATCAAACGTCATCAAACATCAGCAACGTTCTGTTCATATTTTTTTATCAAAACAAACATCACAATGTCATCAAACATCAGCAACGTTCTGTTCATATGTTTTTATCAAAACAAGCATCATCAACATCATCAAACATCAGCAACGTTCTGTTGATATCAAAACATCATCAACGTCATCAAACATCAATGTTCTGTTATATTGTACAAACATCAATGTTCTGTTATATTGTATAAACATCAAGCAATTTAACATCAGAAACGTTCTGTTCATATGTTTTTATCAAAACAAACAACAGCAAACATCAGCAACGTTCTGTTCATATCAAAACATCATTAACATCATCAAATATCAATGTTCTGTTAGACAAAAAAACACAACATTACACATTATATAAAAATTATGATACTCTCCTCATTAAACAATGAATATAATTTTCCGGTATCACCTCCGTTAGATCAACATAAACAGATCTCGACACTTGCTAACGCATCATCTTACGTAAATCACCCCAAAATATACTACTAATATTATATATATATATATATGTGTATAATTCGTACAGATTAACATTAATAATTGTAAATGCTCTCTGATTTGATTCTCCCAATTTTTTAACGTCTATTTCCGGGAAAGTTCGATGCTTGCTTGGAAAATCATGGTCTCAATCTTTCAAACTCTCACTATAAAGAGGTAAATCATCTCTGTTACTATGATTCATACTCTTCCTTTTCTCTCTCATCATCTCTCTAATTTTAGGTCTTTGTTTCTTGGAATTCTTGGATTTAGGTGTTCATGGAAGCACTTGTCCAAGGATTTTCTACCTCTATTTTATATTTATACAATATAATAAACAAAGATACCATACCAAATATAAAAAAGACTAAATGGTTTACAAAAAAATATTCAGGACTAGATAGAGCGACATTTCCCAATATGGGATTTATGAGTAATTTTTCCTTTATTTTACTTCACAAATCTTTCTAAAGAGAAAATACATAATTGAGTAAGGACAAAGTAAATTTTTTATTTTTCTTGAACAATATTGTGAGAGTAATATGTTAATGTGAACCAGAGTAATATATTACTGGAAGACATCTAACATGTCACTGTCAAATAGAGTAGCATGTTATCGTTATAATTTACATCAATTTCGACAGTAATAATTTTTTAAATTTTTTTTTAAAGAATTTCTAAAAATCAATATTTATATGAAAAGTTATATTATTTTAAAATTTAATATTTTAATAATAATGATATGGGTTAGATTTTAAAAAAAAAAAATTATATTTATACTTAAGCCAAGTTTGGCTATCCTAAATAAGTACACAATTTTTATCTTTTTATCTTTTTTTCATCACATCATCTCTCTATTTTTCTGCACATTTTTTCATAAAAAAGACAAAAAGTGCACTTATTTACGTCATCCCAAACAACCCCTATCAAAATTGTATTATGAGGGAGCTTGACCAACTCCCCCAATCACTAACCATTACTCCATTAGACCCACCACCACAGGGCTGCTTTAATGATCAAAACATTCAATATAGATCTCCCAAAAATGTTCCAAATCTTAAAAATTTTATTAAATATCTCGTGACTTATATGCACACTAGTAAAAATTTTAGTAGCCTTACTCTAGAATCGCCATCACATATAAATCATACATAGAAAATAATCAAATTGATAGTTCTGATTATGATATATATTGAGAGAGAGAAAGAGAGAGAGAGTTGAAGAAGATGGCACGTACCAAGCCCTGACCACTTCTCGCACACCAACCTTCCGGAATGCTCAAAGACCTGAACCCATACCACTCACTCACACTCGCTTTCCCCATTATCACCGCCCCCGCCTTCCTCAGCCTCTCCACCACCGTCGCATCCCGCGCTACCACAGATCCTAACAACGCGTACGATCCGACCGTCGTGTTCAGTTTGTCCTTCGTACCTATGCTGTCCTTGAGCAGCACCGGAACACCGTGCAGGTCTCCCAGAAACCGACGGCCCTGATTTCTCTCCCTCTCTCGATCGGCCTCCTCCGCCTGATCTACCGCGTCTGGATTCACCTCTATCACGCCGCGAAGCACCGGATTTAGGGTTTCGATCTGGTGTAAGTAGAAGTCAACGAGTTGTCTGGAGGTGAGACGATTTTCGGTGAAGGCGCGTTGGATGCCGTCGATTGTGGCTTCCTTGATCGTAAACTCCTGGCCGTCGATGGCGAATACTAAGACGAAGAGTAGAGAGATGAAGGGTGAGGAGGCGAGGAGAGAGAGTGAGCTAGTGATCATGATCGCCATTTGTTGGGATCTCTCTAATGGTTTTGCTCTTCAAAAAGCAGTTGAGAAATGGAGTCGTCTCAGTGGAAGAGAGACATTGTTCCTGTTTGGGAGGTGAGTTTTTATTTAAGGTTTTTTTTAGTTGTAAAGTATTATCAGAAAATTTTTTTTTGATATTTGAAAAAATAATTAAATTTTTTTATAATTGAGGCTTAGTTTGGAAAGATTAAATAAGTGTATTTTTTGATTTTTTATGAAATATGAGTTGGATTTAAGTTGGGTTTGAAGTGATGTGTTAGAGAGGTGATGTGACTTAAATAAGATGATGCGACTTAAATAGGATAGTAATTTTTTGACTTTTTATCTTTTTTCAATCATGCCAAACTTAACCTGAATATGATATTTACGTAAAAAAATAAAATAATTATACAATTAGATATGATATTTTATTTAAATTTATTTTTTTTAATTTTACAAAAAATTAATCTTTTAATGAAAAAAATCCAAAAAAAATCCAACACACAAACTTCTCAAACACAACCATTGTAGTCAAGGTTTGACTTTTAAATAAGTGTGTGTATGTCAAACTTGGCCTTGGGATGATCTAAACAAGTGCACTTTTTAACTTTTTATGAAAAAACGTAAAATATGGGTTGAGTTTGAAGTGATGTGGTAGAGAGGTGATGTGACTTAAATAAGATGATGCGACTTAAATAGGATAGTAATTTTTTGACTTTTTATCTTTTTTCAATCATGCCAAACTTAACCTGAATATGATATTTACGTAAAAAAATAAAATAATTATACAATTAAATATGATATTTTATTTAAATTTATTTTTTTTAATTTTACAAAAAATTAATCTTTTAATGAAAAAAATCCAAAAAAAATCCAACACACAAACTTCTCAAACACAACCATTGTAGTCAAGGTTTGACTTTCGAGAATGATTACCATAGCATGGCCAGTGAAGTCACCTTTCACAATATTTTTTTCATAATTCATAATATTATTTAAATTAAAGTTTTAATTCAGGAGATTTTTGTAAATATTAAAAAACAATGGCTAATTGAATATTTTTTATATAAATATTGTGAAAGATATATTTTATGAAGAAATAAATAAATAAAATTAACAATTTTTTTTTAATTTTTAAATCATTTTATTAAAAAAAATAAAAAATTCTTACAATTTAACTTAAGGGTGGTTTGGGATGATCTAAATAAGTGTACTTTTTAACCTTTTATGAAATATGGGTTAGGTATAGGTTGAGTTTGAAGTGATGTGTTAGAAAGGTAATATGACTTAAATAAGATGATGTGACTTAGGATTGGTTTGGGATGTCCTAAAAAAGTGTACTTTTTATTTTTTTTACGAAAAGATATCCAGAAAAGTAGAGAGGTGATGTGATGAAAAAAAGATAAAAAGATAAAAAATGAATTATATAAGTTATGTCAAACCTAACCTTAAATAGGATAGTGACTTTTTAACTTTTTAATTTTTTAACCTTTTCAAATCATGTCAAATAAGACCTTACAATCTATATAATAAGAGAAGAAGATTTTTTATCTATATAATAAGAGAAGAAAATTTTTTAACTATATAATAAGAGAAGAAGATTTTTTAAAATGCCCTTTACATATTTATCTTACCAAGACATTTGAATGATTGGGATTTATTATTGTTTGGAGATGAACGGTGCACATGAGATACATTTGTTCTATATTTAGGCCAAGTTTGACATCTTATATATAATTTATTTTTTTATCTTTTTTTATTACATCACTTCTTTATTTATTTACACATCTTTTTATAAAAAAATAAAAAATACGCTTATTTAAATCATCATAATCAATTCCTAAATTTCAATAGCCTAAATTGCATTTGGTGGTAATGCAATGGTTCGGATTAATCTTAGCTCCGCCCCCTTACTCCCTTTTCTTTTCTCTCTCTCTCTCTCTCTCTCTCTCTCCCCTACTTCTCTTCCCAAGTACGCTGTCTCTCATTTGAACTTGACATTTCTGCCTCCCATGCCACACACACTCACTCACTCTCACACTCTCTCTCTCTCTCTCTCTCTCACACACACTCTCTCTCTCTCTCTCTCTTCAAGCCCAACGCCCAAGTGCTCCTCCCTCCAAAGGAGGCTTAATCTCAAATTAAAATAATTAAAAAATTACTAGCATATCACCCTATTATATACAGATTATATTTACAATTATTTATATATGTAAGTTATAATTTTTAAATATTTTTTTTTAAATGTCTTCTTTTTTTCCTTTTTTATATTATATTAAAATTTAATATTTTGATAATAATCATATGTGTTAGACTTTTCAAGAAATTAAATGTCTTTTTTTATTTATTATATTAAAGTTTAATATTTCGATAATAATCATATGTGTTAGATTTTTCAAGAAATTTTTTTTTTGCTTCTTCTTAATGCATTAAAGTGTTATTATGAGAGATAATAATCATATGTGTTGGGACTTTTCAAAGAATTCATATGTGTTGGATTTCAAAAAAAAAATTATGCTTGTTCTTAATGTATTAAAGTGTTATTATGAGGGTAAGACTTAGGAGTTGGGAGAAGTTAATAAATGCTAAAGTTTTTTTTTAAATCAAAAAATTAAGAAATTTAGATTGGCAGATTGAAACTCCCACAAGACTTAGGGTCAAACCCCATTTTGCTTAATATATAGTATAGATATATAGATAGATAGATAGATTTAATAAGAATTTATATTTGTTTTAGATATTTTCTTAATATACAAATTATTTTTTAAATTTTTTTTATAAAAATAATTTAACAATTTCATCAATAACCATAATGTATGGGAGAAATTGAAAAAGGTGTAGGAGTAGGTATGAGAGAAGTCAAAAAGGCTTGTGGGTTGGAAGAAGTCAATAAATACTGAATTTTTTTTTAAATCAAAAATTTAGAAAATTAAGATTGGGATTGGAACTCCCACAAGACATGTGAGTTAGAAATCTTTTTTTCCTTATATAGTACTAGCATATCACACGTGCTATGCACGGATTGTGTTCACAATTATTTATATATGTGAACTATCCTATCACCCGTGCTATGCACGGGATAATAATAGATATTTATATTTATTTTAGATTTTTTTAAATATATAAATTATGTTTTTTAAGATTTTTTATAAAAATAATTTAACAATCTTATCACTAACCATAGTGTACGGGAGAAGTTGAAAAGAGTACTGCAGTAATTATGAACGGGTTGTATCTATAATTCTTTGTATGAGAGGATTTTAAATGCTGATCAGTAAATTTTGACCAAATCAATAAATGCAGCCATGTGAAAAGACATGTGGATTGAAAAAAAGTTAATAAATGCTGATCAGGAGATTTTGACCAAATCAATAAATGCTTAGTTTTTTTTTTTTTTTGAATAAAAAATTTAGAAAATTCAGATTGGGAAGTTGGGGCTTCCATGCACGGATTGTGTTTACAATTATCTATATATGTTAATTATCTATCACCCGTGCTATGCACGAAATAATTATAAATATTTATATTTTTTTTAGATTTTTTTTTAAAATGTGAATTATGTTTTCTAAGATTTTTTATAAAAATAATTTAACAATCTTATCACTAACTATAGTGTATGAGAGAAGTTGAAAAAGGTACTGTAGTAACTATGTATGGATTGTATCTATAATTATTTGTTTAAAAGGATTTTAAATGCTAATCAAGGGATTTTGACCAAATCAATAAATGCAGGCATGTAGAAAGATATGTGGATTGAAAAAAATTAATAAATGCTGATCAGGGGAGTTTGACAAAATCAATAAATGCTGAGATTTTTTTAAAAAAAATTAAAAATTTAAAAAATTCAGATTGAGATATTGGAGCTCCCACAGGCCTTGGAGGTTGAAAATTTCATTTTGCTTAATATATAGTATAGATAGATTATGATTTTTAAATGTTTTTTTATTATTATTTTAAATGTCTTCTTTTTTTCCTTTTTTTATATTATATTAAAGTTTAATATTTTGATAATAATCATATGTGTTAGACTTTTCAAGGAATTAAATGTCTTTTTTTATTATATTATATTAAAGTTTAATATTTTGATAATAATCATATGTGTTGGACTTTTCAAAAAATTCTTTTTATGCTTGTTCTTAATATATTAAAGTGTTATTATGAGGGATAATAATCATATGTGTTGGGACTTTTCAAGGAATTCATATGCGTTGGATTTCAAAGATTTTTTTTTATGCTTGTTCTTAAAGCATTAAAGTGTTATTATGAGGATAAGACTTGAGAGTTGAGAGAAGTTAATAAATGCTAAGATTTTTTTTTTTTAAATCAAAAAATCAAGAAATTTAGATTGGGAGATTAGAGCTCCCACAAGGCTTGTGGTTGAAAACCCCCTTTTGCTTAATATATAGCATAGATTGTGATTTTTAATTTTTTTTAAATGTTTTCTTTTTTTTTCTTTTTATATTATATTAAAGTTTAATATTTTGATAATAATCATATGTGTTGGACTTTTCAAGAAATTTTTTTTATGCTTATTCTTAATGCATTAAAGTGTTATTATGAGGGATAACAATCATATGTGTTGGGACTTTTCAAGGAATTCATATGTGTTGAATTTCAAAGAATTTTTTTATGCTTATTCTTAATGCATTAAAGTATTATTATGAGGGTAAAACTTGGGAGTTGAGAGAAGTTAATAAATACTAAGTTTTTTTTTTAAATCAAAAAATCAAGAATTTTAGATTGGGAGATTGAAACTCCCACAAAGGTTGGGGCTAAAAACTCCCTTTTGCTTAATATATAGTATAGACTAGCAGATCACCTGTGCTATGCACGGATTGTATTTACAATTATTTATATGTGAATTGTGATTTTTAAATATTTTTTTTTAAATGACTTCTTTTTTTTCCCTTTTTTATATTATATTAAAGTTTAATATTTTGATAATAATCATATGTGTTAGACTTTTCAAGTAATTGACTGTCTTTTTTTTATTATATTATATTAAAGTTTAATATTTTGATAATTATTATATGTGTTGGACTTTTCAAGAAATTTTTTTATATTTGTTCTTAATGCATTAAAGTGTTATTATGAGGGATAAT